GATCTCCTGACCTCGTGATCCGCCCGTCTCGGCCTCCCAAAGTGCTGGGATTACAGGCTTGAGCCACCGTGCCCGGCCTATAGCACAGTCTTTGAGAGGCAAATACTCCCTACCATACAAACATTGGGCCTGGCCATATTAACTTACTTTGGCTAATGAAATATAATTGTAAGTTATTTATATCATATCTCACGAGAAGATGAAGAGCACTGAGTGTTTCCGCATTTTCAATTTTCCCTCTGACCTAAGACAAAGACAGGGCTGTTCCTCAGTCTGGAACACTAAGACACATTTAACAGAGCCCCAAAACCACAGAAAACTTGTAGCTAACATGGGAGCTAGAAATACATCTCTACTGTAGGAAGGCACTACATACAATGTGAGGGTTGTTACAGCAGCCTTACTTAGGAAAAGCTAGTCCAGAAACTGTTAACAGGAGTAGGTTATCGCCATAACAAACATGTAACATACGTGACACCTGCAACTGCGACTGAGTAGCAAGTAACTGTTACTGAAGGCTGGAAACAATGATGACCTATCTAATGCAATGGTAACACTGCATTTGCCTGAGAAAACTGAGAAAGCAGATAATATGATTAATGAACTTGCTGATTTATACACAGAGGTTGGGAAACAGTATGTTGCTAGCCCTGGATGCTATTGGCTACACTTAAAATACTGGGAGAAAAAGATGAACTCAGAAAAGAATTAGCTGCAAGCGGAATTGAAAAGAAAAAGAGAAAATTCAGAAATTCAAGAACTTACAAGACTGAACGATACAACAATTACTAATGCATAACTGTAAAAGATATAATTGAGAAATGCCACCCATAAATGCCAATTACAATTCAGCCTCATTTTCAAGGGCAAAACTTCTTCATTAAAGTCTGTGAACAGATGGAAGATGGCCCCAAGTACCTTTCTTCAGTGGGACAAAATAGATTTGGGAAAGGTATTTAAGAATTTGGCTGTCTTATAGAAACATGATAAACTCAAGGTATCTCTAATAAAGTCTAGAAGACAGACGTGTCTCAAAGAATTTAGGGTATGGCTATTGGTACATGGAGCTAACTTGAATCAAATTATAAAGAGTCAACTACATTTCACAAGATTTGTACTACTGAAGTTACTTTTTTTAAAAAAAAAAAAAAGGAGCAACACATTCATTGAATTTAGTGGTAAGCGAATAAATCTAGAGATCAATTTGGGGAATTTGTATTTTTTCTAATTTTGTCAATAGCATTTCTTTCCATTTATGGTACAAACATTGTCATTAAATACATTTTTAACTCTTTCCATAAAGGTCCTATATTTCCTGGTTCATATTACTGTAAGGTCTCAAATTTTCATTGTTTTTGTGAAAGGTATCGATTTTTAAAGTTATATCTTTTAATTTTTTTATGATGGAAAATTTCAAACATACACAAAAGTAGAGAGAACAGTACAATGACCCCTAGGTACCATCAGCAGATTCACAGATGAACAATTTAGAGCCAGTCTCTTCTATTTAGGGTTACCAGGTAAAATACATGTTTTTCTTTCTGGGACCCCTACCCCTTTCTCTGAGTTTTTCTGTCTACCTTTGTTGTGCTAATTCAACTCTGTCTAAATCAGTACCCCTATGACCACCACTAGCACTATTTTCAATTAAGAAAAGAAGTACAGGCTGTATTTATATTGATCCCTATAACTAAAACGTCTACAGAAATATTTAAAACAGAGAAAACACTCAAATGTTGAGTAGTTAAATGAATTTTATTTTATTTTATTTTATTTATTTATTTATTTTTTGAGACGGAGTCTCTATCTGTCACTAGGCTGGAGTGCAGTGGCATGATCTCAGCTCACTGCAACCTCCACTTCCTGGGTTCAAGTGATTCTCCTGCCACAGCCTTCTGAGTAGCTAGGACTACAAGCACATGCCACCATGCACAGCTAATTTTTGTATTTTTAGTAGAGACAGGGTTTCGCCATGTTGGTCAGGCTGGTCTTGAACTCCTGACCTTAGGTGATGCACCTGCCTCGGCCTCCTAAAGTGCTGGGATTACAGGCATGAGCCACCATGCCCAGCCTCTGGGTAGCTTTCCTTTTGCACCATCGGGATATCTTGCTATTGGTGTCACCTACCTTGCTGTTAGGAAGGAGAAGAAGAAATGGAAGAAGAAAACCTGATTACTAATATTATGCTTTTTTCATTTGTTTGTTTTTTGAGATGGAGTCTCACTCTGTTGCGCAGGCTGGAGTGCAGTGGTGCTATCTCAGCTCACTGCAACCTCCGCCTCCTGGATTCAAGCAATTCTCCTACCTCAGCCTCCAAAGTAGCTGGGATTACAGGTGCCCGTCACCATGCCCGGTTAATTTTTGTATTTTTTAAGTAGAGAAGGGGTTTCACCATGTTGGCCAGGCTGGTCTTGAACTCCTGACCTCAGGTGATCCACCCACCTTGGCCTCCCAAAGTATTGGGATTACAGGTTATGAGCCACTGCGGCCAGTCTACTAATATTATTCTATCAAGTGCTAAGAATTATGAAGGCCATATAAAGTAATGTGAAAAGTGATCTATTCAATTAATAGGATCATTGGTTTAATAGACAGAAAATATGATCACATATGTAGAAAAAACTGCAAATAAGTACTAAATTACATGACACTGAATAAAAGTAATAAGGAGTCTAGAAAACTGACAATTATAAGTTAATAACACTTTGTAGCACAAGTAGGAAAATAGCCTGAATTAAATAAATAATGTATTATGAAACTAGTAGAAAATAAGGCATAACAACAACAACAAAGAAAATAAGGCATAACAGGTAGGCTGGAGTCAGTTTATACAGCTCAAGAGCATCACGTTTTTCTGGTCCTTTTATGTAGGTTTATTTCCCACATTTAAAAAGTAAAGATAATAACTGCTAATGGGTACAGGGTTCTTTTGGGGATAATGAATGTTCTAAAATTGACTGTAGTGACTAAACTGTGTTCTAAAATTGACTGCACATAACCTGTGAGGATACTAAAAACCACTGAGTTGTATACTTCCTAAAGGTAACTTGTAAGATATTTGAATACCCCAATAAAGATGTTCTTTCTAAAAAGAGTAATATAATTAAAAAAGCAATACATGATGGACTGAGCATGTAATTTTATCTTCTCTCTCGAGGCTCCATACAGAAATAAAGAGAGGGAGGCAATCAGTAGATGAGAGATTTCAAGAAACTTCTGAAAGAACAACACTTGATGAAGAAATATCATTATTAGATGAAGAAATATCAATATTATTACTTCCTACTAATCAAAATCCTGGCGGGAAAAAGATGACACACCAAGTGGGTCACTGGGAAGAGTTTAACAAAGAGGCTACAA